TGAACTGCAAATAGTACACCATGACCGCACTTGGACCACACTTGGACAACACTTGCAATGTAGTGCCATGTGACCTACACGGGCTACACAGCAACCGCATTTGTAATCCATTTGAACATCTTTTTGGGTCGCATGTGGATTACACGTTACCTACACTTGAACTAATTGTGGCCTACATTCGCACGACATTTGATCTACATGTGATTTATACGGGCTGCACCTGGACCGCACTCGCACTACACCTGAACTGCAATCGGATATCACTTGACTTACACTTTGACTACACTTGAACCGCGTACAATGGCTGCACCTGAATCACGTTCGAAACGCACCCGGACTACACTTGACCCGCACCTGAACCGCACGTGAACTACATGACAGACATTTGAATCGCGCTTGAATTTCACTTGCACTACAAGGACAGCCCCCCCCTACCAAATTCGAACCACATCCGGACTACACTTGACGCGCACTTGGTGCACCTTATCATTGCACCAGAACCACACTTGAACTACATTCGGATTCCACTTGGACCACACTTGAAATACACTGACCTTGCCTTGAACGACATTTGCGTTTCAGTCGAACCACACTTGAATTAAATGTGAACTACACCGGAACTACACTTGAACTATATATACATGTACCAGGCTTGTGATACGCATGAGCTGCAAGGCCTGCACCTGCAAAACACTTGCACTACACCTGAACTACATTCGAACAGCGCTTGAAGTACACTTGAACCACACTTGAACCACACTCGGACGACACTTGAACTACACTTAAACTAGACTTGAGCTGCACGGGCTACACCTCAAACGCCTTCGACTTTAATCTGAACCGCGCTTGAACTAGACTACACTTGAAACGCACGCGGACTTCACTGGAACTACACGTGGGCTATGTTTGAACTACAATGGTGGCGCTTGGGACACGCTTGAAATACATACGAACTACACCTGAACAACACTTTGACCACTCTTGAAACACATTCGAATTACACGTGAAGTTCACTTGAATCATACTTGAGCTGCACTTGGACTGCACGTGAACTACAAGGACTACGCCTGTACCACACTTGAGCTACATATGACCCGCACTTGCGTTACACTTCGGCTACACCTGAACTACTCTTGAATTGCATTCGAACTACACCTGGACTAAACTTGAACTACAATGGTTACGCGTAAAGCACACTTGCTCTACGATCTACGTGTGGTACACTCGAGCTGCGAGGACTACCGCCCGCCACGGTTGAATTGCAGTTGAGCTACACTTGAACCTCACTGGGACCTCCCTTGGGCGACCCCTGAACTTGCACTAGAAATGCAATTGAACAAGAATTGAACTACACTTGAATTGCACTTGAACTACAAGTATTGCACCTGATACACACTTGGACTACACTTGGGCTCCATCCGGAGTGCACCTGGGCGAAACTGGAAATACTCGTCGAATACGTTTGAACTACATTGGGACTATACTTGAGCTACGAGGGCTACACCTGAACAACACTTCAACTACGCCTGGGCTACAGTTGGAACACACTTGCGCACGCGAGCGGGCGACAATGGAGCGCGTGAGCCAAAACCCAGGATTGCGCCAGGGTGTCCCGTGCTGCGACTGCGCCCCACACGAAGCGCTGCCGTGTCTCGCGCATCGCGTGCGCGAGGCTGCGGCGTTTCCTGCGTCGCCATTGCGCGCAAGGCCCAGTGCTTCGCCATTGCCCGCAATAGCGGCAAAACCGGCGCAGAAACAATGCGCACCCGAAGTTGCGATTCCGCAGCAAGTTCGCGCGCGCGATATTTGCCATTCCTTTGGCATCGCGCGCTCGTTTTTCAAGCCGCCCCCCAGACTGCCCTGCAGTATTTGCGTGGTCGGCCATGGCGCGCGCGCGCCTGCGCGGGCACTGCGCGCAACGCGCCACTTGCGGGGGCTGGCAGAGATGGCAAGCGATTGATCGCATGTATCATCCGTGCTTTCAGTTGCTTGCGCCACGTAGGGCGGCGACGAGCGCGACCGTTGGAGATAACAGTTGCGATGTGCAACGTGGAAGAACCACTCTGTACTATACGAGCATCGGGTGTGTGGTTGTTCTCTATGACGCACCCTGTTGTGCGCGGGCTTTTCTTTCAATCGTATGATTTGCTAGATGACGTGCCGAAGCTCCGCGCCTGCCCACTCTTTCCCTGTTCGCCGGAGAAGGGGCGGGTTCGACTCCTCCCCTTCTTAGCGGGGGCAGGGGGTTGCGGTTCAATGGGGTGGTGGGATTAGGGCGTGAGGGATAGGGTTCGGTTGTTAGTGTTCGGGTGTTTTGGTTCGCGTGTTGCGGTTGGCGTTGTAGTGCCAGGGGTGAAGGGTTCAGGCTGGGGTGTTGGGGTTCGGGTGTTAGGTCTAGCGCGTCAGGGGTCGTGCGCGAGGCATTGGGTGTCATGGTTTGTGCCGAGGTGCTCGAATTAGGGCCTTGGGTTTACAGGTCGGGCGTTACTCGGTAGCGTTAGGGTTTTTTTGCTTGTTTTTGATAGGGGGTTCGGGATCCGGTGCGAGGGCGTTTGTGTTGAAATTCGTCCGTTAATGATAGGGTGTTTATATGTTGGGATTCGCTAGGGCGTTCGGAATTGGGGTAGGGTGTCAGCGCTGGGGTGTCAATGCTTGTGCGTTAGAGCTCGCGTGTTACGATTATTGATCGGGCGGGGGTGCTCGCTTTCGGGCTGGTGTAGTGGATGTCAGGGTCACAGAAGCTTGCGCGGATCAGGTCTCTTTTGCTTGTTCGATTTTTTCTACCTCGTCAACACAGTCCTGCGTCCTCAATACCTTCGGAGCACATCTGGGCCGTTTCGGGGCGATCTTGGGGCGCGCCTTGGTCTTGTTACATGTAGGGCGTTGTGGTGGATGTGTCTTCCGATTATGGTGTGAGGGTTAGGGCACCAGGGTTATGATTCGGGTGTTGGTGTTGGGGTGTTTGGGTTCGGGTGCTAGTATTGGCGTGCCAGGATTCGAGTGGTACGGTCGGGTCGGGGTGGCACGAGTAGATTTACGCTTAGGGTCATGGGGCTAGGGTGAAAGTGCCACGGTTAGGGGATTCGTATTGCGGTTGGAGCGGTAGGTTTAAGAGTAGGGTGCTAGGGCTGGAGTGTTAGGGGTTAGATATTCGGCTTCGGGTGTTCCGCATCGGGCGTGAGGGCTTCGGTGTGAGGATGATGTCAGTGTCAGGGTTAGGGTCAGGGTGAGGGTGCCAGGGTCAGGGTGTCAGGGCCAGGGTGGTCTAGGGTGGCAGGGGTGCGGTTCTGGAGCCCAGGGCCGGCATGGCCAGCAGGGGGGGAGGAGGAGGAGGAGGCGGAGGAGGAGGAGGAGGAGGAGGAGGAGGAGGGAGGAGGAGGAGGGAGGAGGAGGAGGAGGAGGAGGAGGGAGGAGGAGGAGGAGGAGAGGAGGAGGAGGAGGAGGAGGAGAGGAGGAGGAGGAGGAGGAGGAGGAGGGAGGAGGAGGAGGAGGAGGGAGGAGGAGGAGGAGGAGGGAGGAGGAGGGAGGAGAGGAGGAGGAGGAGGAGGAGAGGAGGGAGAGGAGGAGGAGAGGAGGAGGGAGGAGGAGGAGGAGGAGAGGAGGAGGAGGAAGAAGAAGAAGAAGAAGAAGAGGAGGAGGAGGAGGAGGAGGAGGAGGAGGAGGAGGAGGAGGAAGAAGAGAAGAAGAAGAAGAAGAAGAAGAAGAATAAGCAGAAGAAGAGGAGGAGGAGGAGGAGGAGGAGGAGGAGGGGGGGGGAATTTTCTCCGACTTTCTCGTCCAAGGGGGGGGAGTTCACACGCCTCCGTATTTGAGGCGGGGGAAGGTCGGGACGACGGATCGGGAAAAAGGGAGAGCCACGGGACGACGGGCCATGAGAAGGGAAGGAAAGGGGGGAGGCGGGGGGGGGCGCCTCCAGCAGGGCATCCAGCCCCGCCCCCTCTTCTCCAGTCTGTGTTCTGTTGTTTGTGTTCCCTTTTTGCAGGCCTGTCCGCTTGGTTGATCGGTAAGCTCCGTCTCCTGCTCTGAGATGACCGCGGCGCCCGAGACATCTTTCAGCGCCAGATCTTAAAGAGGATCGATCTATCCTCACCGAATATATATATAAATATATTATATATATGTGTGTGTGGATTCGTCTTGGCTTCGTCGTACTGCTGGAGTCAGCACCCGCTCTGAGCATAATGTGCTCCATTACAACCATTGCTATGTTCCAGCCGTGGCTCTATCAGGTCATGCTCCTCCACGATCGTCTTTACGTATGATTGACGCTCGCCTTCAGCATCGTCCTCCTGCTCCTCTGTCTAGTCCTCCCATTCTCTACCTGCTCACACCAGTAGCGCGCACATTCCGTCTCTTTGCAACAATCATAGAGCATTTGGGTTCAGCTGCTTTTCGATTGCCTCTGGCCATGCCCCAGTTCACATACCGAATGAGGTGGTGAGGCAATTGCAGGCAGCCCTTGTTTTCTGTTTGCGTAATTGTGCGTGGTTGTAGCAATGTTGTTGGACATTTCTGGATTTGGAGGAGTCCAGGCTCGCTGCAGCGTGGTCAATGTTTGCTGGGTCCAACGCGACAACTTCGACGTTGCATTTGGCACATAACTAATTCGTTGAACCGCTCTGCTCATTGCGCCTGCCTAGGCGTCTCTGCTGGATGGGAGGAGTTCTCTCGAGGTGTTGCGTCGTCGGTCATGGAAGTTAAGCGGTTGCCGAGGAGTTTGTGTTTGGGGGTTGGTTGGGGATTTCTGATTGGCTATTGAGACCATGATGGATCCACATGTGTCCCTGGCAGCCTGCGGCCATAAAGCTGGCACTCCCCATACCCCACACCACCCAGCGTGGCTTGTTGTGAGGCTTCTTTGAGTCTGTCGGGAGGTCTCTTGGAGGCCTGAGGAGAGTCAGCCCGTATCGATTTCGGTTCAAGCAACACTTCTGCCAAGGCTTCAGCAGCTCTCGCACACGATCTCCGAACCGAACGTTCCTGTTCCTACAGCTTGCTCAATGGACGTGAAGATCCTTCGTGGACAAGCTAACAATGTCCTCTTCATGGAATGCTCCAGCAAGTTCGTCGATCTGGTCATGGCGCTCATGCGTGCACCGATGGGGGAGATTATCGGAGTCATCTCGAAGGAGCCTACTGCCGTGGATGGTCCGCTTCCAGGTTCATTGTTGTGCGGGTCAGTGGCAAGTTTGCAGAAGCGTTCAGAGCTCTTCAACACCAAACCAGCACCTCCTGAGCACACCAACTTGGAGGACCTTTTAGAAGTGGATAACGCGAATCAACCCATACTCTTTCTGCATGGGTGTCACTGCGAAGGCACAGCCAACGGGAAAACTGTCAAGGTGATCAGCAGAAGCAACAATTGGACCAGTAATGCCGTCTTCAAGCTTGGGGACCAGCAGGATTTCGAGGTCAAGATGACGATGCATGACAGGACCAAGAATATGATGCTTGGTATTGCACCCAGAAATATCTCCATTCATACAGCGCAGCTTTACACATTCGACGGGTATTTCCTTGAATTAGGTGGACCTGGAAAAAAAAGCCTTCCTGTATGACCGAAGCGCCACAGACTTCAAGGATCATTCGTTCAGAACGACAACTCCGTGCAGATGAAGCTCAGTAAAGGGTTGCATGGCAGCATGGTGCTCCAATACGCTACAGAAGGTGGAGAGTATGGATCTGCCGCGTTCGATAGCATTCCTTGCGACACCTACTGCCCCGTTGTCTGCTTCAGCGCGCCCAACCAGAACATTACGATGGAGAACATTTCGGACGGCGCTACAGTGGTCAAAGATACAGTGAAGCGAGAGATTATATTTTTGGTGACCAACCGTATGGAGATGTTCCAAAGCAGCAGCACTTTGGCAATCGAGCTCATCGCGAAGAACAATGGGGACAGCTTGAAAGGCATACACTCCGAGACTGTTCGCGTCACAGCTTCGGCCTTGCGGCGCATTCTCATTGGTTCGTTGCTTGGTCGCGAGGATGTGCTTGACTTCGCATTCCCGACGGCTGCTAAGCAAACCAGCGAAGAAGGGGATGATACCAGTGAGACCAGTGACCATTCGTTCCAGCTCGCGGGGCCATCTGACTCGCCCAAGTGAGGAGGTCATGCAAGCGAGAATAAACACCGAAGAACAACAACAACCTAAGGAAGATCAATTCTATTTTCCTCTTTGGGCCCTCTTGGGCTCCTCTTTGAGCCCTCTTGGGGCGTCTTGGGCGCCTCTTGAGGCCGCCTTGAGCCGTCTTCGAGGGCTCTCGGCCCGAGGTCGTGGAGCCTGCCGCCCACTTGAGCCCTGCTGTAGGCGCTCCCGGACGCCGCCCAGGACTTTCAGGGTGTTGGCAGTTCGCCACCTGCGGCGTTCAAGGCCCTTGCGCTCTTACCTCCAGTCTTTACTACAGATGTCGGTCGCGGAGGGGGGCGGGCGGGGGGGGAATGCTTATTTACTTGTGGCGGCTTGGTGCGGTGCTGAGGATATCGCTCCGCGGAGTCCGCCCCCGCAGATTGTTTATGTTCGATTCGGTGCTGACTGACTACGACACCGGGGGGGTCCTTCCAGTAGAGACCCACGCCAAGAAACACCCTGCTTGCCTCCAGGGTTCCTTGGGTTTCGATGGTTTCGGCGTGGAACACGTGACGTTCCAACGCCAAAGATCAGTGGACGTCCTGGGGTCTCAGGGTTGGGCTTCTTGTGGAAGGTTCCTCGTGGACTGGCCTCCACTGGAGTGGCTGGCTGAGGTCATCTCTCACCCGAGGCGGGCGGTGCCGTCTCGGGGTGCTCTTCGTCCGGGGACCCCCCCGAGAGGCCGCCCCGCGCGGGCCCACTGGCCTGCGCCGCAGCGCCGGCGCCCTTTGGGGGCACTCTGGGGGCATTCTGGTTGCGCGCCGATCGTCGATAGTGGTCGGCGACTACAAAGGGTGTGGTTACGCCGGGGTGTGGTTTGCGATCGGCGCCGCTGGGGCCTGGGGGCACGGCGCGGTCCTCGTCGGGCCTCCTCGGGGCGCGGCGGAGAACTTGATCGGGGTCCTCGCCCGCCCCCCCGGGGTGTCCCCCAGGGTGCCGGTTGTGAACCACACCTTTTGCAAACCACACCCTTCGGAGTCGCCGAAGTAGGTATCTCTGGGTTCCCAGATCCCAGTCTACTTCAAGCACCTTCATACTTCAACAGTCGATCTGCTTCTGCAGTGTGTTGTTGCTCTCTGGGAGGGCCTGACCCACAGTCTACTTTATCCGCCTTCCTACTCATTGTTTTCCTATACTTCTTCGGACCGACGTATACCCCTGTCAGGGAAACTTGGATTCCTCTTGCTTCGCGGGGTGCACGTCCGGAACGCGCAGTGCATGGGCATTTGGGGGGCTCCAGGGAGCCTTTCGGAAGCCTCTCGGGCTGCATCCCTGGAGCTTCGTGGGGGCCCCTTCGGGGGGGCGTCCAGGGCCTTGTGCGGGCGCTCTTGGCCCGTCTGGTACCGTCAGAAGCTTTTTGGGGGGGGGGGCCTCCGGACCGTCTTGGGGCCCCCTGGTCATCTTGGGCCGCCTTGGGCTGTCTGTCTGTGGCCGTCTTGTGGGCCTCTTGGGCCACGTTGAGGCGCCCTTGGCGCGCCGTGCGGCACCCTGGGGTGCCTTCTGGGCCGTCCGAGCACCACGGCAGAATCAACAAACTTGCTGCCGGAGGCCCTCTTCTGGGTCCTCTGGGAGCCCCCTTGGGCCTTCCTCGGGGCATCCTGGGCCGTCCAGAGGCTGACTTGGTCCGTTTGAGAGCCATCCTGTGTCATCTTTGGGGCCATCTGGAGCCGTCTGGCTGCCATGTTGGCCGGGTCTCCTGGCCCTGGAGCTTTCTGAAGGCCAGATGCGTCCGCCTTCCCTCACTGGCCCTGGCGGCCGGACACCCCCTTCCAAGCTGGCTGGGCTGGGCTCCCGGGTGAGGGCCCGCGTCTCCAAAAAGTCGAGACGCCAAATGTCGGGGACTTCACACGCCGAGGAAATTCTGAAGGGTCGGCGCATTTACAGGTGCATTCAAGGCGTCACGGGAGTCGACGACAGCGATCTTTTTGTCGCAGGGGCGCGTTCTCCTCATCACTTGTCGCCTCTCCCCCCGTCCCTCTTGCCCTCATCCTCACCGTCGCCGTTGTCCTCGTTCCTTGTCGGCGACGGCGACCACGATGGCCTCTCTCAGGGTGGCCGCGGACTCTTCAGTCCCCCCCACTCTTCACGTCAGAGGTGCCTGAGTCGGTCAGCAGACGTGGCCGTTGCACACTCCTCCAAACCCTCCTCCCCCTCGTGGGGGAGGCAGAGGAGAAGGGTGGGACGACGGCCACGAGGACACGGTAACGATGACGACGACAGCGACGACGATGACGACGACGGCGGCGGCGGCGGCGGCGACGAGAACGACAACGACTTCGGCGACGGCGGCGGAGGCGACGACGAGCGCGGCCTGGAGGAGGAGGAGGAGGAGGAGGAGGAGGAGGAGGAGGATGAGGAGGAGGTGGGGGACCAGAGAGACCCGCCAGCAGCCTGCAGGTTGCCAAGAGGAGGAGGAGGAGGGGAATAAGCCGGAGGACGGCGGCGACGACGACGACGGCAGCGACGGTGATCGCGCGACGACGGCCGACGGCGACGACTTCGACGGTTCCACCGTCTGCGGCGGCGGCGGCAAAGACGAGGGCTTCTCTCAGAGGGGCGCGGCCCCCGCTTGAAAGAAGACCATGATAACAAAATGGCGGCGGCTACGACGACGGCAGCAGCGGCAGCACTGCCCTCCTCCTCCTCCTCGTTGTTGCCGAAGGATGAGGAGCGGGAGAGGAAGGATGAAAAGAAGAAGAAGAGGAGGAGGAGGAGGAGGAGAGGAGGAGAAGAAGAAGGAGGAGAAGAAGAGGAGGAGGAGGAGACGGAGGAGGAGGAGGAGGAGGAGGAGGAGGAGAAGAAGGAGGAGATGGAGGAGGAGGGGGAGGAGGAGGGGGGGGATAAGAAGTAGGAGGAGGAGGAGGAGGAGGAGGAGGAGGAGGACACGATGAGGACTCGGAGGACGAGGAGGAGGAGGAAAAGGATGGCAGGGAGCCCCTGCCCTGTTGGGAGAGCTTCCGCGGTTAGGGTTGCCCCTACTTGGGAGGTTCCTACTTGGCCCCCCCTACTCTTTGGAGGTGCCTCCCTCTTAGGGTTGCCCCTACTCAGCTTAGGTTCCTCCCTTTTCGCAGTCCCCTACTTTGGATGTTCCTCCCTCCGCCCTCCTGCCGTCTCCCACCGTCGCCCGTCGTTTCCCGCGCAGTCCACCCAGCAGTTCTCGTCTTGTCCGCCCTCCCTGGCGGCAGAGCCCGCTAATCGTGGTAGCGGTGCCAGTCGTATGGTGTGCGCGGATGGAGGGCCCACAGGGCACACTGCGACGACGGTGACGACGATGACGACCACGACGACGGGGACGGCGGCGGCGACGGCGACGTCGACGGCTACGACAGAGGCCGCGGCGGCGACGGCGACGCCGACGCCGACGACGACGACGACGCCGACGACGACGACGACGGACGACGACGCCGACGTCGACGACGCGACGTCGACGCGACGCCGACGCCGACGACGACGACGACGTCGACGACGACGCCGACGCCGACGACGACGACGACGACGACGACGACGACGACGACGACGACGACGCCGGCCTCCCTCGGAGGCCGCCGCGCGGCCTCTGGGCCGGACGGCGGTCTGCCCCGGGCGGCGGGCGCCTCCGCGCCTCTGCCGCCGCGATGCCGGCAGGCAGCCGCCACGGCCGCCGCCGTCGGCGTCGCCGTCGTCGTCGTCGTCGCCGCCGCCGTCGTCGTCGTCGTCGTCGTCGCCGTCGTCGTCCGTCGTCGTCGTCGTCGTCGTCGTCGTCGCCGCCGTCGTCGTCGTCGTCGCCGCCGTCGTCGTCGTCGTCGTCGTCGTCGTCGTCGTCCATCGTCGTCCGTCGTCGTCGTCGTCGTCGTCCGTCGTCGTCCGTCGTCTTCTATCGTCGTCCAGCTCGTCCCAGGCCGTTCTCTGACGGTCCCTTGGCCCCCGGCGGAGGGTTGTTTCGGGCCCCGGGAGCGGGGAACCACTCCGAGGACCTTTTCCTTCCAGGACGCTTTGCCTTCATGCGGCTAGCACTAAGTCGGGCCCGTCCTTCTAGGAATCCGTTACTGTGTTGCTTGGGGCATGACGGGCATCATGGCCCCCGTTCCCCCCTTAGACGTAACCCTCCCCCCCCCCAGGGCGCTCCGGGCACTGCCGTCGTGCGCACTGGGATCCGCGTAGGTGTCCGCGTGCGAATCCGAATCGGAGTTTGGTCCGCAGTCGTCGTCGTCGTCGTCGTCCTCGTCGTCGTCGTCGTCGCTCATCGTCGTCGTGCGCGCGGACGCGGCTGGAGCCTGTTTAATATTCGGGGCCGATGACGACAATCATTTGGGGGGGGAGGGGGTCGATGACGTCACGTTTCGCGCCGGCGGCATCCGGGAATGCCTAGGAATACGGAGGACGGGTAGCACCAGCATGTAGGTGGCGATCTGCACCACAACGCCTGTGTACACAATGCCTGCGTGCACCACAGCGCCTGTGTACACCACACCGCCGATGTACACCACAGCAGCCGCGTGCAACACAGCGTCAGTTTGTGCCACCGTCCCTGCGGGCTCAACAGCTATTGAGTACACCACATCGCCTGCGTACACTACATGATCCGAGTGCAACACAGCACCAGTGCACACCACAATGCTTGCGTGCATTGCAGTGCCTGTGTACACCACGGCGCTTGTGTGCACCACAGCAACAGTGCGCAACACAGCACCATTGTTGTATATAGAATGTTAGAAGGAATCCTCGAGACAAAATGGACCGCTTGTGGATTCCACCGAAAACAATAGAAAGGAATCCTTATGGACAAAGGAGCGCCGCTGGAATCTACGAGTCCTCCCGAGTCCGCCCGCATCACCCTAACTCCTCCCATTTGCGTCCAGGAGGCTCAACCTAAAGTGGCCGTCCGAGAACCTATGCACGCAAACACTGTGGTGTACACCAGCGTTGCGTTCCAGAGGCCCGAGTTCTGGCCCGAAAACCACTCGCATCAGGGGCAACTCAGGAGGGGGAAAAATACACAGGCACAATTACTTGCCGATTCCCAGGAAAATATAGGAAAATATGTGAAGTGGGGGGGAAGACGAAAACTTAGAAACTATAGGAAAATATTGTGCATCCTGTTATTTGTGTGTATGTGTGTGTACCAGGGCCCCTTCAGCAACGTCCCAGTGTGTCCAGCGCAGGAGGGTGCGGCCAACAGGCGGAGCACCGTGCTCCCACCTGGGAAAGGGGGGGGCGTGCAGGTGCTTTCTTGTCCCTGGTCTGCCTTCGCGGAGGCGACGGCGGCGCGGGAGCTGCCCGCTCGAGCGCGTTTCAATTGCGGGGAGTCGCGGCTGGCTTCCGCATCGCATGCGTAGAGAAAGGTCGGAAATTGGAATATATACATGACCAGTGGCGGGCCGTTTTTCAATCCCGCGACTTCTCGAGGGTCGGGGACGACGTCGGAGTGGTCTGGTGTACATTTTTTTTCCCTGCGTTCGCGGGGAAGCAACGCAACATGTGTACGCCAGGACCCCGTAGACACCAGGATCCGCGGTCCTGTGCGAACTTCAGCGAGGAGCGGAAGAAGATGTCGGTGTATGGAGTTCGTTTCCCTACAGTCGGGGCGCTGAAGAAGGAACCCTTTTCGTTGGGCAGGGGCTCGGTGTCCCTTGATTGTTTTACAGTCTGCCTTTTGTTTTCCCTAGGTTTTCCATGGGAAGTCGGAGTTTAAAACTTATGGGAGAAAGAGGCCTCGCTCCCCATTTTAGGGTTCCTTAGGTCAACGCCCCGACTGTAAGAGGGGGCAGCGTCCGGGGGCGCCAAGCGCGCAGGGGCAGCGCCTCGGCACCCCGTCGCCCACGGACAGCTTGCCTCAGGTTTTCCTCATGTTTTCGATGGGAAATCGAAGTTTTAACTCATGGAAAATAGGGGCCTCGTTCCTTATTTAGGGTTCCTTAGGTCAACGCCCCGACTGTATACAGAGCTCGTTTCCCCAAGAGGGGGCGGCGACCGGGGGCGTCAAGCGCGCGGGGGAGCGCCTCGGCACCCCGTCGCCCACGGACAGGGCCGATATGGGGGGGCCCGAGGGCCCACCCCGCCCGGGAGCGCGCTGCCGCGCCATCCGGGGGGGCCTGCTGTCGGGAAAGGGGGAAACAAGAACACGCACGGGCGAAAACGCCGCGAAGATCGGGACAAAGTCGGATCGGGATGACTCGAAGTCTCGGAGAATCGGCGGGTTTGGAGGATGTGTTGGGCGCCGCGGCCGCTCCAGAGCGTTCCGGAACGCTCTGAGAGCGCTCCGGAACGCTCTGGAGCGATTTATCCCGATCCTAGCCCTGTTTTACAGGCGCAAAGAATCGTCGAGCCCCAGGGGCATATAGGGAAATATTGGATTTGCTTTTGGGGGGGAAGGCGAGCATCCAGAAGATGTTGAACATATGGGGGGAATCCTGGGATTTGTGTGTGTGTGTGTGTCTATGAATTTGCGTGGCCGTGGGCCCCTTGACATTGCCGATGTAACGGTTGTCTGTCGTCGATGAGACCTCGATGTTTCCCCTCCAGAGCTGCCACCCCCCCCTTCCTAAGGTTAAGTCGGGCCTGTCCCTCTACCGGGGAAGTATTCAAAAATAGTCAAGAGATAGCCTGGGGACTATTTTTGGAGTATTTTCGGGCATCTTTTGATTATCTTTTGCATATGTTTTATGTTTTGTCCAAATCCCCCTGCATGGGGACAGGCCCGACCTAACCCTAGCGCTGCCCCCCCTAGCTTCAGATGCGCACCCGCGTTTTGCCGTTTTGTTGCCGGTTCCGACGCCGTTTTTTTACCGGTTCCGTCGCCGTTCTTTTATTGGTTCCCGCTCCGATTCCAATCCTGGAGCCGTTTTTGTTGCCGTGTTTGGTCGCCATGTTTTGCCGTTTCCATTTTCAAGGGACATTATTTCGGAAACGGTGAAAAAACGGCCCTGCCGTTTCCGGGGGCCCCATTTCGTTTCCCCCATGAGATCGCGGCCTATGTTAACAAAGCGCATCCGTCCATTCTCCACTGCCGCCGGCACCGCGCCTACTATGCGCCTGTTGAGATAGCGGATGCAGGGGCAGGGGAAGTTGGTGATGACGTCGCCCGCGCTCGAAGGCAACCTAACTTCAAACAGCTCAATCATTTCGCCTATGCGCTGCCGTTCTCATCACGGCCACCGTGACTGCTAATTTGCGTGTGCTCATATCGCCATCATTGTCAACGCCGCCGTGGCGTGTATAATAATCAGATGATTCGATGCGTTTCCAGGAGTGCTGCAGCTCGTTTATTTCCGACCCGCACGCTGCCCAACATCCACCCTTCAGGTTGCCATCGGCCCCATGATCCGAAGTCAGAGCAGACAGTGCGGTTCATGAACATAAACGTTTGGCGCGCCGCGCGGATTTCTTGGATCCGCGCTGGGCCCCCCCTGGCGGCGCCTCCGGCGCCGCCCCTGGCGCGCTCCGCGCGCCAGGGAGGGGGGGGGGGTACAGCGCAGACCCAACAAGTCCGCGCGGAGCGCCAAAAGTTGATGTCTCTGCCACTTTGTCTTCCCGCGATGGAGCTAGCGTTTGGTCGGGCATGTCCCCCTACAGGCGGATTTTGGACGAAAAATGCAAGTAGTTAGAACATGCCCCCAAATTGCCCAGAATAGTGTACAACTCGTCCCCTGACTATTCCTCGACTGGTTTTTTTTGAGTGTTCCTCCTGTAGAGGGGCAGGCCCGACTTGAAAGTAGCGCCCACCTCGTCGTCCTCATTCCAGGCTGCCTCGCGCGAGTCGTGCCCCCTCCCCGCCGCCAGCTCCAGCAGAGCCGCCCAGGCCTCGCGAGCATGTTGGCGAGCATACTCCCCCTGTTCGCCTGCCTCCCCCTCCTCCCCTCCTCCCTCCTCCCTCCTTGCTCCTCCCTCCTCCCTCCCCCTCCCTCCCTCCTCCTCCCTACTCCTTTCTCCTCCCTCCTCCCTCCCTCCTCCCTCCTCCCTCCTTTCTCCTCCCTCCTCCCTGCCTCCCTCCCTCCCTCCCCCTCTCTCGGCAGGCAAGAGGAGTGCCGGGTCGTCTCGGCAGCCCACCTGCTGGAAGCGGATCGTGCAGCAGCTGATGTCCCTGCTGGTTGCCAGGGGGCACTGGTGAGCGTTTTAGTGTTCGGCGTTTCGACATTGGGCGGAAGGCGGGGGGAAGGGGGGCGGACTGGCTCGGGACCTCTGCTTGATGCGACTGCTTGCAGCAGTGCGTCCCATGGGGGGACTCCACTAGCTCGAAACAGGCGCCCACAACAGCCAAGATCTACTTCATGGGGGGGGGGGGAGAGGGGGTGCGAGGGCCCGCGCCGATCGACAAAACAATGAATAAGAGAACGATCACTTGGATGTGAGCGACAGGGGTCGACCCATACACGCTGTTTGGACGAAATCGTGGGCAGGTTTGAGGCGTTTCGCATTCGTGTGGCAGCACCGGCTGGCGGAAGACAACACGATGAAGAGCGAAAGCATACAGTCGGGCTCCTGAAAGAAGGAACGATAAGCAAGGAACGAAGCCCCTTTTTGGCCCCACAAGCGCCTGCGTGCACGAGGAAGGCTAGAGGAAAAGCCATAGAAGGACCTAAGGAATATCGAGTCCCTTTCTTACCCAAACTGCTCCTTACTTCAGCGACCTGGCTGCATCGAGAACGACAGCCACTGTTCAGGACGATCCCCGCGGAGTGCGCGAGCGCAAGGTCCGACGGCCGCGCGGATGTCTTGAGCCTGCGCTGGGCCCGCCGCTCGCGGGGGAGCCAGCGGCGCACGCCTCCGACCATGTACGCGCACGCCTCCGACCATGTACATTCGAAACCCATGTCAAGAAACGCCCTGCTTGCCTCCAGGGTGCCCTGGGTTCCTTGGGCTTCGACAGTTTTGCGATGGGAGGCGCGACGCGCCCACAACCGAAAGCGAAGGGACGTCCTGGGGTCTCAGGGTTGGGTTTCCTGTGGAAGGTTTCTAGTGGTCGGGCCCCTGCTGTATTCGCCATGGGGGGTTCCAGGGTCGCATGCTGGTGCCTACATACGACAGGTTCGTGCGGCGTCGGCGCGCGCAGAGGCTATAGACGCCGCTCCGGCGATGACATGTACAGTCGTGGCGCTGAAGAAGAAACCCTTCTCGTTGGGGAGGGGCTCGGCCTTCCTTGACTGCTGTGCAGTTTGCCTCAGGTTCCCCGAAGGTGTTCCATGAGGAATCAAAGCTTAACTGATGGGAACAAGGCGCCTCGCTCCTTATTTAGGGTTCCTCAGTCGGGGGAGCGTAAGAGCCGGGTTTGCCAGGACTCGGGTTCGCCATCGTTTTTTGACGGTTGCGCCTCGGATTTTGACGAGGAGGAGTTTCGTGGGATGTCTGCAGCGGGAGGCCTCGGCAAAGTGCAGGCTCGGCCTCGTCATTTTTTTGACGACCTCGTCGGGGATTTCCGAGTCCCCCGTACCCGGGTCTTACGTCCCCCCGACTCAGGTCAGACGCCCTGACGTCATGCCTGCATGGGTCCTGGGAGGCGGGCCCCGAGGTTTCTCGCCGCCTGCGGGCCCCCTCCGCGCCCTCCACGCGCCCAGGGCGCGCCGGGGGGCGGCGCCTGGGCGCCCTTCGTGGGGGGGCAGGCGCCGGCTCAGGGACTCCGCGCGCCGTGGGGCGTTCCACAAAGGGCCTCGCCTTCGAGCATCGAAGGAGATGGCCATCTCTCAGAAGAGGAAGAGTCTTTGGCCGGGAGATTCAGAATCCCTGCAAGATGTTCCGATGATCTCTCGTGGTCAGTGGGCTCCGCGGATGACGTGGGTAAGAAGGGAGAGTGCCGTCAAGCATGCCAGAAGAAGTCAGTCCGTACAGCAGACGGACAGCGCGTGCAAGGAGAGAGAGCAGGCAGGGCGAATTAATGGTGGTGCGGAAGGGGTGCGTTGGCTAGAAGAGGTACCCATACAGTCGGGGCGATGAAGAAGAAACCCGTTTCGTTGGGGAGGGACTCGGTGTTCCTTGACAGTTGCGGTGTCGGTACCTTTTGGTCTCCCCACCTCTTCCTCGGCGGAAGGCCGGTGGAAGGGGGCGGAAGTGAAACGAGGCCGCATCCGCCGGCGGAAGCTGGCGGACGGCTGGCGGAGAGCGGTGGAAGTAAAAGATGCGCCCCCAACAGGCGACAACATTTTTGGGTTCAGAACAGAACAGAAGCCATGCACCAGCCCTTGCCACGGCGCTTAGGCACCACTGTCGTCATTGAGCCCTGCTTCCGGGCAGGGCGCGCGAGCAGAAAGAAACATCAAAACGCCCGATTGAATGTGAAGTACAAGTCATGTCACGCGGGGAGGGAGGAGAGGGGTGGGGGACAAGCTAGGTGCGCTCGCGTCATATCTGACGTCCTACCCCTCCCTCCCATCCCTTAATTACCATGGCGCTGATTTTCTCTATCCGCGGACGCGTGTCGTAGCGGACCTGTGGCTCCGCGCGCGCGTGCGTAGTGGGTGGTGGTGCGCGTGCGTGCGTGCGTGCGTGTGTGCGTGGTGTGGTGGTGCTGTGCTGTGTGGTGGTGGTGGTGCTGGTGCTGGTGCTGGTGCTGGTGGTGCTGGTGCTGGTGGTGGTGGTGGTGGTGGTGGTGGTGGTGGTGCGGCGCGGTGGTGGCGGGCGGATGGGCGCGCGAGAAAGAGGCCCGCGCTGGGGCGAGAACGCCATCCTGAACGACGGAGGCCAAACACCGATCCGAAAATGAGGCCCACGCTGCAGCGGGAACACGATTCGGAACGATTCGGGAGCAGAAATGAGGCCGGCGCCTCAGCGAGAGCAGCATTTTGAAAAAAACGCGGGCGAAAACCCAACTCCCGGGAATCCTGTGTGTGAAAAAAACATTACGCGGGGGGGGGTCAACGATTTTCAGGCCGCCATCGGGGGAAGAGGGAGAGTAGTATTCATATTGAGTAATTGTCGACGACGACGAGGAATCGGCCGCACGTATACGCTGAGGAAGACCTGCAGGGTCCGAGTGCGCCCCCCCCGCCCGCTCGTCCTCGCCGCGGCCTCCCTGTGCCCTCCGGGCCCCTTGCCCTTGTCATCTAGGCCTCTTAGATGGGGTGGGAGTGGGTGGGGTCGGAGGATCGCGCCGCATCGCCGATGCATCGACGATGCGGCTTGATGTGGAGCCCGTGTTTTCCCACGCCGACGTCGCCGATCTGCATCGCCGACGTCGCTGATGCATCGCCGATGCGTCGGCGATACGCCAGTGATGCATTGGCGATGCGGCGCGATCCTCCGACCCCATCTAGCCGGACCCCCATCTAGGAGGCCTCTGATATATTTTTCCCGACGAGGAAAAACTGCACAAAGACAGTTTTTTGGCGCTCCGCGCGGATTTCTCGGCGCGGCGCTGGAGCTCCCCTGTGGCGCGCTCCGCGCGCCAGGGCGGGTGGTTCAGCGCAGATCCAGGACATCCGCGCGGACCTCGAACAGTTAGTGCGTGTGCCGTTTATCGCAGGCGATGTTTCTATCCCAGCCCCCGACTTTTCGACGAAACGTGGAGCGGTTCAGAAAGGAGGGGAACCCTGGGATACACCCCCAGGGGGCTATTCGGACGCACCCCTATCGAGGATGGACGCCCCCCCTCGTATATCCCAGGGTCAGGCCCTCATTTGTTTGGTCCGTTCAAAAACCCCACGAAGCCTGGGATAGGGGTCGACATATCCCCTGTTAGTTTCAGGAGGGAAAGAAACACACAGACACAACGAATCGTCGATTCCCCAGAAAATGCAAGAACATATGGGAAGTGTGAGGGAAGACAAAAACCCAGAAGCTATGAGAAACAATGGGGAATCCTTTTACTCGTGTGTATTTGTTTGTGTGTCCTTGGGCTCCTTCATAGTTGGTTTCTGTGCTGCACGAGTTGACGGAAAGGGAGGGCCAGGTGGGCCTGGTGATACTGTTGCTCTGGAACACGCTGACGGGCGTGCCTGGAGGCTGCCTGCGTGCGGTGTCGCCCAGTCCGTCGCTCGTCTTAAATCGGGCCTGTCCCTTTACAGGAGGAATCTTCCAAAATAGTCAAAAAATAGTCTGGGGACTATTTCTTGGATGTTTGACAATGTTGGACTCTTTTTGTTGAGTACGTTTTGTTTTTCGTCGAACATGCCCCCAGGGGGGTGGGCAGGACCCGACCTAACGCTCGTCTCTGTCTTTCTGTTGCCCTGGCATCGCTCGGACGTGTGCATTTTTTCTCGGCGAGGGCAATCGAGGAGCATACTGGGCCATTCTGAGGAAAAAAAAAAAACACGCTCGAAACCGAGAAATACATGGGACATGGACGTCCGAGCGATGGCTCGGGACGATCGAATACGGAAAGAACGGGTACACACGCCGACAAGAGTTCTTGTTCATTTTGAACAGGACTCGTTGTTGGTGTCGCCGCGGCCTGTGTCCACTTGAGACAGACGGCCGCCTGCCCAACAGCGGCCGCTGTTGGTTCGGGGCAAGATTTGTTATTGGGCATTGTACCCATTTCGCACGGCGTCCGAATTTCACACGGAGGTGCGAGTGCATCGCGCTGATTTTTCGGTGATGTTGTCCGAAAAGCCACTGTGTTCACGCACGCCTGTCGCCCATCTTTGTGTCGCCCTCTGCGCCTATGATCTTACCAGCCTGGAACATATCCCTATCCCTATGCTGGGCACCTCCTCATCACGATGGCAATCTTAGGGATTCCCTTATTTTTTGAGGGCGAATCCCTGAGATTGTCATCGCCTCTTGGCGTGTCAATCTTAGTGATAAGGATACGTTCGAGGCTGGTAATGATAGCTAATTCGTTCGCTCGTTCCACGCTCGTGGCCATGAGGCGCCAGCTTTGGAGCCGACGTCGATATCATGGCCGAGCCGGATCCCCAGGCCTCGGCAGCTGCGCAAATCACTCGGGAGGGCCGAACGGTGGACAGAGCGCGCGGGGGCGACGACCGACAGCCGAAGCAGAAAATCATGCAGTGGCGAAGCGTCCTGGCCTGCCCACAAGCGCCCTCCGCGACGCATGCTGCCCAATAATCCTCTGCGGTTTGCGAGAAGTGTTGGGACGTTCCTGGCTGGGACCGTTTTGTCTTGATGCATCGACTCCGCGGTCCCAGAGCATTGCTGCTGTTCTCAGAACCTTCTTGTGCTCTAACGACTTTTCGTGGTATGCCTAGGGGAATGCCTGGACGGCGGGTCCATGCTCAACCAGGTGGACAGAGCGCATGGGGGCGATTACCCACAGCCGGAGCAGAAAAAGGCGGCACAGCCGGAGCGGAAAAGGGGGTGGTAAGTCGGAGGTGTCCTTCTACCAGGAGGAGCATGCAGAATAGTGGGAAAAAGTCTGGCGACGATGCTTCGTCTTTTGCTGTGACTATGTTTGAGTGTTTTTGCTGTGACTATGTTTGAACACATCTTTCCTCTGCTTTGCCTAATTCCAGCTTCGCGCGGCCCGCTTAGCTTCGACCGGAAGAGGTGCGTCCTCGATCCGCGGATCAAACATGTTTGAAGACTTCGTGGCTGTCCAGACGCATCGGCAAAAAGGTCAAGGCGGAGGTTTCTCGTATGTTTCTGCCTCGAGGGGCCTTCGCCGGGCCGAGACCCCTGGGGGTCGACGTCATGAAAAGATCGTGCCCGAGGCCCGTGGGAGGAGGTGCTGATACTGTCCTGCTGCCCTCTGCTGCGTTCCCACCTCCCCAGAGATCCAACGCATCGACAAAAATCAAGACGGAGGTTTCTCGTATGTTTCTGCCTCGAGGGGCCTTCGCCGAGCCCAGGACCGTCAAACAACGACTCAGGATGAAAACAAAAAACGAATCAGGATGAGAAACCGGTCCCGGGGAATGGGTCGAGACCCTTGGGGGTTTCGGGAGCGGCCAAGAGGGGGGTGAGGACTAGGGGAGTGTGCGTATCATGATTCAGCTCATGATGAATTTCGAAACTAAACCACCAGAGCGTTTGTTTGCAGCCGCTGTGTCAGATTATTGTGCCCGCGCAGTCGGCAGGCACATTTCACCAGTGGCGCAATGCGAACTTACCGCGTTGCAAATGTTCATTGTTCTTGCGTTCCGTTGCACCGTGGCTCCGAGCGCCCCGTGGCTCGCGGCTCCATGGTCCCGTGGCGGTCCGTGGTTTCTCGGCATTCAGGCCCGTAACCTCGATGGCCGCGTGTCCCCGCGATGCCGCGGCTCTCGGCGCCGCGGCGCATCTGCGACCGCGCCGATCGCGAAAACCGTGCGGTGCCAAATGGTGGCGCTCAATCCGCCCGTTGGCCTCGAGTTCCGAGAGAGCACATGACGCTGGCCATGGTACTCCCAGAGAGACCGTGGCACGGACACGAGCTTGCCGGGAACACACATGGCCACGGCCAGGAGTCCCGAGAGAGCGCAGGGCACCGGCCATGAACCCCCCAGAAAGCAAACGGCACGGACACGAGTCTGCCGGGAGCACATGACAATGGCCATGGGTTACGAGAGAACACAGGGCACTGGCCATGACATTCCCAGAATCCACATGGCACGGACACGAGGTTCCTGGGAACACTTGGCATTGGCCAGCAGTTCCGCGAGAACACATGCCAGGGGTCGAGAGTTCCCTATTGCACCCCAGAGTCACAATCAACAACTATAGCAAACCCCTATGGGATTTGCGTGGGCGTGAGTTCTGCGAAAAAACATGGCCAGGTCACGCGGTTTACCGACGCACATGCGCACTTTTCAGATCCCCCCCTTGCCCGCACCTATCCCGCCTTCCCGTCCTGCCTCCCCTCCCCTCCTGTCGCTCCACCCCCCTCCCGGGCTGCCTCCTCGTTCCTGCGGCCCCTGGGGCGCTTCGTGGCCCATGGCGTGCGGCCCGTTGCTCATGGCCCGCGGCCCGTGGACTGTTGCCCGTGCCCCGTGCCCCGTTGCCCAGTGGCCGTGGCCCCTGGCCCGTGCCATGTCGCCAGTGTCTGGGCCGTTGAGTCCAGTTGGTGCCCGGCGGCAGGTATCTGGTAACGCGCGTCGTCATGGCTGCGAAATGCTCGGAAATTGAGGGCCCCTGGGATTGCGAAGACACGATTTGGCTGGATGGCACGTCCAATAACGCCTCGTTGATCGACCTATGCGCGCGCTTTGAAGTTCGTTCGTAGCGACCGGCCCCTGGTTGTGTTACGATTGGTGTGTATTCGCGTTGTTTGCGACTGGGCCGCAATCTGGCTGGCTGGCTTTGGTTCTGAACCGATGATTCTGGCGGTCAGCGGGCTTCTATGATATCCGATTGCGTTCGCGCGTGCGTAGCCCTGCGAGTTGTGCGCAGCACTTGCCTCGAGCCATAATACCTCCCCCCCCTCTTCGTCGCTCCCCCTTTGCCGCTCCCGAGGGTCGACGTCATGAAAAAGACATGCCGTCTGGGGTTCGGGTCTTTGGGCCTCTGGGGAGGCCCTCGTCGCCACGGCTACCATTCGCTGCGTGTCTCACTGGGGAGGACGAACCCTGGGCAGGACTCACTTCGATTGCTCCGATTCGATTCGATTCGATTTCGATGGATTCCGATTCCGATTCGATTCGACTTCGGATTTCGATCTGGGATCCGATTTCTCAATGGAGGCCTATTAGCCTGCCGATTCACGCCGATTCGACTTTTCCCGACTCGGCTGCCGATCTCCGCCGATCCGATGTGTGTCGATCGCCGATCCGACTTATCGATTCGATTCTGGGCCCTCCTGCCTGGGACCGGAGACTATGTAGCAGTGTCTCGCGAGCGAAATATCCGCGGCTTCTCGCGCCCCGGGGCCGCGGCTTCTCGCGGTCTACGGAGCGTTTGGTCGCGGATGCCCCCCGCACGGCATGCCACGGCGCGGAGTGCAGCAGCGGGGCCGCGCCCCGGAAGCCTTGGCCGCGAGGCCGCGGGTGCGGATGTGTTCGCCAGTCGCGATTGCCCAAAGATCGGGGGCGGACAGAACCCCCAACAGTGACACGTCGATTAGTGAATTGTCCGGTTTTCGGTTCTCGAGAGGGCGCCGCGGCCGTTATTTTCCAGGCTTGCGCCCGCCAGGTTTGGGCCTCAGGTCGTTTTCACTAAACCACGTTTTACTAAAGGGAGGTCTGTCCATCCCCGAAAAGACCCGACGTCGTGATTTTTTCAACACGGGGCCCCCGGAGGTCTCGACCCCTTCCCCAGAACGGGTTCTTCGTCCCGAGCCATTGTTTCACGGTCCCGGGGCCCAGCGAGTTGCCAGCCTGGAGCATATCCCTATCCCTATGTTGGGCACCTCCTCATCACGATGCCAATATGATGGATTCCCTTATTTCTTGAGGGCGAATCCCTAAAATTGTCATCGCCTTTTGGCGTGTCAATCTTAGGGATAGGGATACGTTCGAGGCTGGTAAGCGAGGGCCCTTCGAGCCCGACAACTACGAAAGACCTACGTCTTGTTTTTGTCAACACGTTGGATCTCTGGGGATGCGGATATTCTCGCCGCTCGTGATGATATCGGTTCCAAGTATAGGTCCAAGTCCAGTCGGGGGTGGACAGACCTCCTACCCTGACACGTCGATGAAGGAATTGGCCGTTTTCACTTCGCGAGAGGGCGTCGCGGCCGCCATTTTTGCAGGTCCAGGTCCGTCGGTTTCGGTCCCAGGCCGTTTTCACTAAGGGGAGGTCTACTAAAGGGAGGTTTGTCCACCGCCGATCCAGAGGGCGGCTGGGTGTCAGCTTTGGTGCCCCACCGCGGCTCGCCCAAGTAGGGCTTGTTGTTTCTGGAGGGAAAAAACACACAGACACAATGAATCGTCGATTCCCCAGAAAATATGGGAAAATATGGGAAGTGGGGGGGGAAGACAAAAACCCAGAAAATATGGGAAAAGATGGGGAATCCTTTTATTTGTGTGTATTTATTTGTGTGTCCCGGGGCCCTTCCATTGTTGTTGTTTCACCACGCTCCTGATTTGATGCCGATTCTGTCATCCACTGGCGATGACGGGCGTGACATGGGGGGGGGGAGGGGGCAGGGCACGTTACGATTTGCGCCGGCGCCGTCGGGGCAAACCAAAAAGGCTCGTGCCGATACCGCCACTCCTCGGACCTCTGTCGGGAGGCGTTCGCGGAAAGACCCCAACACGGCCTAGGCGAAACCAAGCCGAGCTCCGCGCGGATCTCTTAGATTCGGCGTCGCCCACACATATTTAGACCATGTGTTCGTCGCCCCCCCAGGGGCGACGCGCGCACCGAGAAATCTTCTAGTATACGTGTCGCGGCGGGCGCTTTCTGGCCACACCGCTCGGAAAAGGATATACTACAAGATGGGTATACTAGATGTTCAGGTCGGACGCGCGCCTCCAAGGAGAACATGTAGTACTAGTATGTCTCTGTGCGTCCCATAGATCGGCGCTGCCCCCCCCCTCATCCGGCGGCGTCTCCGGCGCCGTCCCCACAGCGCGCGGAGCGGGGTCCAGCGCCGGAATAGAAAAGTCCGCGGCGCCGAAGCCCGAGAAAGTCGGGGGCGGCAAAGAGGGGGGTGATGACTGGGGGGGGGTGGATATCATGGTGAGGGCCATGATATTGCCTTCAGATTTCATGGCCCCTCTTCTCATTCCATTACGTCCCCGGCCCCCCCGCTGGGCCGCGCACATGCCGCCGGTCATGATTTGCGCCCCCCCCCTTGGACATCCCCCTCTTGGCCGCTCCCGAGCAGGTACGTTTACGAAGTTGGCCGTGCTTCTGAAGCCTGGCACGGCTCGGCGGCGAGCGAGGGGGCGGGGAAGTTTTGGGCTTGAGGTCCGAGGTTTTCGGGTGTTCTCGTTTCGGGCGAAGAGAACTATACACATGCACCGATCCTGGCAGGGCCAGTCCTTGACCCAGGATCGGTGCATGTACCTTCCAGGCCAAGGTAGCGGGCGTATGCACCGATCCTGGGCTCAGGATGGGCCTGGCCAGAATCGGTGTCTGTGCCTAGCTCTTTTCCCTCTATCGTTGCTTCTCGGCGGCTTGCCAGCTCCAGGATGCTTGCGAGCAGCTGCGCCTCGCCGCCGGCGTTCCCGGGGGGTGCCCGGATCGTCCCGAACGCCCGGCGTAGACCCGACCTTTGACCCCAGAGAACCAGATTCGGCAGCGAGCGAGGGGAAAAGTGGGAAGGAGAAGGACTCCTCAGAAGGGACTTCTCCGAAGCCCCCGCGCCTTCTGCGAGGTTTTCTGTGTCCTCGGGGGAGGCTTCAGAAGCTTCTCAAAAGGCGGGGGGACTTCCGAGCCTTCTGAGAAGGCCCGCCCCTTTTTTCCCCCCATCGCTCGCCGCCGGATCACGCAAGGGCGTTGACGAAGACCGCAGTTCTTGACTAGTTTGAACCGGGCTCGCTGTCGGGGTCGCCGCGGGCGCCGTCCATCTGATGCATGAAGTCACCTGCCCAACCATGACCGCCGCTGCCAGTGTTGGACCGCTCGCTGATGGACATCGTACCCATCTGTCTTGTACCCATCTCGGGCGTGTGAAGACGGATTTAGGGGATCTGTCCAGACTTTCCAAACGGGACCAGCGCAGAATCACCGGTTCGCCGCATCGTCGGTGCATGAGCGATGCGGCCTGATGTGGAGCCCGTTTCCCTTCACGCCGACGTCGCCAGCGCATCGGCGATTTGGCGCGATCCTCCGACCCGATCTACCCAGACCCTTTTCGGGAAGCCTCCAGGGAAAAGGTTGCCCTTCAGAGTAGGAAAAGATGCCGACCTACCGCTGCCTTTCCTTCGTCTCGAAGGTCTTGTCCGCCCCAAATTCCTGGTCAGACGCACCCTTGGAGAGGTTCGTGGAGTCGCGGTACGTTGGCGTTGGCGGCGCGCACAGGGTGCAGGTTTCGTAGAAGGAGGCTGCTTCTTAGAAGGCGCGGGCCATGTCTATAGATATATGGTTGGTGTTTTCGAAGAAGCAGCCTCCTTCTAAGAAGCCTTCTTCATTCCATCTCCCACCTTTTTCGCGCCGTCAGAGTACCGGTGCGAAGAATCGCGCGCGAAGTGTCCCAACGTCCCTCCGCGCGCGCGCTGTGATTGGGCGCAGGCCGAACGCGTCCTGGAGTGCGCAGTGCGGATGGTGAGCGCCCTGATGGTCCATACGGCCGCTCTGGCCAAAAAGGCAGAACATGGGCGAGTCCGTTCGTTGTTTTCGCGGCTGCGCACCAAGGCGCGCAAGCGCGCGCGACTCCTCGCTGGCCTTCTTCTCACCCAGTCATCTAGGTGTCGACCCCCGAAGTGGTCCGGGAGCGCACTGTCGACCAGCACGTCCCCTGGAGTGCCGCGGCGGCGACGGGAGGGGGGGGGCCCGAGGGGCCCCGAGAACGGGGCCCACGAGGGCGGAGAGGACAACACAGTTGATGAGCCAGTCCGCGTGGGTATGCCGTCGGCGTCCTCCTGCGTGAGGCCGGCGGCGACGACGATCTCGACGACGACGGCGACGACGACGACGACGGCGACGGCGACGGCGACGGCGACGGCGACGACGACCACGACGACCACGACGGCGACGGCGACGGCGGCGGCGGCGGCGGGGACGACGACGACGTGGTTGAGCAGGACGACGGCGGCGGCGAGATCGAACACCGCAGTGGCGCGACGACGACGCGATGATGACGGCGACGAGGTCGGCATCGACGGCGGCGACGAGGAGCGCGGGCGGCGGCGACAAGATCGACGACCTCGACGAAAGAGACGATCGCAACGACGACGAGCGACGACGACGACGACGACGACGACGATGACGGGTTCGACGATCACGCTGGCGACGTCGACGTCGACGACGACGACGACGACGACGACGACGACGACGACGACGACGACGACGACGACGACGACGACGGTCCACTGCGTCGACGCACGGCGGCAGCTGGCGGCGTCCCGCCGCCCTTCGGCCGAGGCCCCGAGCTGGAGGCGCCGAGGCTCAGCCTGAGGCTCGGCCCGCAGCCGCTCTCGGCTGCGGGCGTCCTGGGCGGCGGCCCCGCCGCAGGCGGGGCGGTCGCCGCCGCCGCCGCCGTCGCCGCCGCCGCCGCCGCCGCCGACGCTGTCGTGATGGGCCTGCTTTCCACCACCACCACCACCACCAGAAGCTGGAGGGGTGCAGAAGGGGGAGGACGAGGAGGAGGAAGAGGAGGAGGACGAGGAGGAGGAGGAGGAGGAGGAGGACGAGGAGGAGGAGGAGGACGAGGAGGAGGAGGACGAGGAGGAGGAGGACGAGGAGGGAGGAGGAGGAGGAGGAGGGAGGAGGAGGGAGGAGGAGGAGGAGGAGGAGGAGGAGGAGGAGGAGGACCCCCTCCCCCTCCAACTTGTGTTGGTGGTGGCGGAGGTGGAAAGCAGGCCGAGCATGTCGTGGTCGTGGTTGTTGTTGTTGGCGTCGCCGCCGTCGCCGCCGCCGTGGCAGTCGCTCGCCGCCGTCGCGCGGCCGCCGTGGCCGTGGCCGTCGCGGTCGCCGGCGCGCGAGGCGGTGGCGGCGGTCGTCGTACCGTCGGGGCGCTGAGGAAGGAACCCTTTCGTTGGGGAGGGGCTCGGTGTTCCTTAGTTGTTTTGTAGTTCGCCTTTGGTTTTGCTTAGGGTTTCGATGGGAAATCGAAGTTCAGCTTTTGGGAAAAAGGGGCCTCGTTCCTTATTTAGGGTTCCTTAGGTCAACGCCCCGACTGTAGCCGTCGCGGTCGCTGGCGCGCGAGACGGCGGCGGCGGTCGTCGTACGCGTGGCGGTCGTCGTCTCCCGTCGGTCGAGGTCGTCGTCGTCGTCGTCGTCGTCGCCGGCGTCGCCTTCGTCGGCCGCGCGGTGCTGACGGTGACGCGAGTGTTTGGCGGCGCGCGCAAAGCTCAGGAGGGGAAGCAACACACACAGACACGAGTAAACGTCGATCCCCAGGAAAATATGGGAAGTGGGGGGGGCAGACGCACACCCAGAACACACGATTGACAAATATAAGGACTCCTGGGAGTTGTGTCTATTCATTTGTGTGTCCCTTGGCCCCTTCCATGTAGGCTTAGTCTGGCGTGTCCCTCCACAAGAGGAATATCCGAACATAATCGAAACAGTCTGGGGACGCTTTCTTGTTTAAATTGTCGTTGATGCTTATTGCGTCTGTGTGCGGCTTTTTTTCTACAACAGCAAATCGTCGAAGGCCCGCCTGTAGGGTGACATGCCCGACATAAGTGTACAGGCGGCCCGGATTAGCAGGTCGACCCTGCCAGCTCGAGGGTACCCTTTTGTCCTGTGCCTCGCGACACGTGGCTTCTTACACTCCAATGTTATGTCGGGCGTGTCCCCCTACAGGGGGATTTCCGACGAAAAATAAAAAAATACCCCAAACACACCCCCAAAAGGTCAAACATATTCAAAACATAGTCCCCAGACAATGTTTTGATTATTTGTTGATTATTTTTGGGGTATTTTTTATTTGTCGTCGAAAATCCCCTAGTAGGGCGACAGGCCCGACTTAAATCCAATGGCGATGTGGCCCTCGGAAGGGTCTTGTGTCCTCTCGCGTGTCCTGTCCAATCAAGGCCGACTGTAGCGGTATCGGTACCTCGTGTCGGCGGCGGGCGAGTGGGGGAAGTCAGAAGGAGAAGGCCTTCTCAGAAGGCAGCGGGGCTTCTCAGAAGCCCTCCGGCCTTCCCTGTCTCCGGGGACGGTTTACAGTCGGCCCTGATCAGTAGGCCGACCCTCCCAAATCAAGAGTACCCTCTTGTGTTATGTCGGGCGTGTCTTCCTACAGGGGGACTTTCAACGAAGAGTAAAGAATACCCCAAACATACCCCAAAAAGGCAAAAAATGTTCAAAACATCCCCAGACTATGTTTGGACTATTTTCGGACTATCCTGGGGGAATTTTTTATTGTTCGTCGAGAATCCCCCTGTAGGGGGACAGGCCCGACTTAACTCTTGTGTCCTCTCGCGTGTCCTGTCCAATCCAGGCCGACTGTAAGTGTACAGTCGGGACCCTGAAGAAGGAACCCTTTTGGTTGGGGAGGGGCTCCGCGTTCCTCAAGTGTTTCACAGCTTGCCTCAGGTTTTCTTTATGTTTCTGGTAGGGAATCGAAGTTTAACTTATGGAAAAAAGGGGCCTCGTTTCTTATTTAGGGTTCCTTAGGTCAACGCCCCGACTGTGAGTGTAGGCTGCACGTGCCCACTGCTCTTGGCTGGGCCCACCATGGGCCCCTGGCCTGCCGGGGCGGGCGCGCCGCTCCCGGGCCCCGTGGCGGGCCTGGCCGGGGGGGGGGGGGGCCTCGGCATCGCTCCCGGGCGTGTGCGCTTCCTCCCGGCGAGGGCCATCGAGGAGCCGAGAGTCACCACCCACCAAACCACCCCAACCCAACCCGAAGGCTCAGATTTACCCTCGATTTCCAGTGGGGGGGGGGTCGGGAAACATCGAAAAAACACATGTGGAACCCTTACCCCCCCCAACCCGAAATTCGGGTCTTCGGGTTGGGTTGGGGTGGTCTGGTAGGTAGTCAGAGAGATCCAACGCACCGAAAAGATCAAGGTGAAGGATTTGCCCAGTTTTCGGCCTCCAGGGGCCGTCGCCGGGCCCCGGGACCGTCGAGAAACGACTCAGGATGAAAAAGGCTGGTCCTGGGGAATGGGTCGAGACTTCCGGGGGCCCCGCATTGAAAAAATCACGGCGTCGGATCTTTGGGAGCATGTTGGGCCATCCTTCTAGGCCTCCCAGACGGGGTCCAAGTAGGTGGGGTCGGAGGGTTGCGCCGCATCGCCGATGCATCGGTGATGCGGCTCGGTGCGAATGTTTCCTCCATGCCGGCGTCGCCGATGCGTCGCTCACGTCGACGATGCATCGCCGGTGCATCGCCGATGCATCAGCCGATGCATCGCCGATGCATCGGCGATGCGGCGCGATCCTCCGACCACATCTACGCGGACCCCATCTAGGAGGCCTCTAATCCTAGGGAAGAGTTCGAAGAAGAAACAACGCCTCAAGCATGAACTGCTGGCGCTCCGCGCGGATCTCTTGGAACCGCGCCGTGGCCCCCCTGGCGGCCATGGCAGCGCCTCCAGCGCCGCCCCTGGCGCGCTCCGCGCGCCAGGGAGAGGGGGGGCCAGCGCGGAGCCAAGAAGCCCGCGCGGGGCGCCAGAAGTTTATGTCTACGCCGTGTCCTCTTCCTCGGAGAATGCACGCGCGGCACCGAGCAGTCGACGCAGTCGGCCCGCATGGCAAGGGTGGGCAGCCTGCCAAAGGAAGGGTGCCCCTGGCATCCTTCCCTCCTCGGCCCATCCTCGGCCCCGCCGCCGCCCGAAGAGCCTCGAGGTGGCCCTCCAGGGCCCTTGCCTCCCCATCGTGCGTCCCTGGAGGGCGGGCTGGCTGTGTGCGGGGAGTGGGCGCCCGAGGGATGGCGGGGGGCAGCGGCTGAGCGGCGAGCTCGTCGCTCGGGGGCGGCGCGAGGGGCGAGGCCTTCTCCACGGATGGCGTGCGAGGGGCGGCTGCGTCGACGCCGTGCCGGCCTCTGGGAAAGCCTCGGGGCCCCGCCGAGGAGGCCCGCGGTCCTGAGAGCCCGCCTGCTTTGAGTGCCCCCCCCCCCCGCTGCGCTCCGCCAAGCCGTCCAGCACGAGGAGGAGGAGGAGGAGGAGGAGGAGGAGGATGGAGAGGAGGAGGAAGAGGAGGATGGAGAGGAGGAGGTGGACGAGGAAGAGGAGGAGGCTGTCGAGCAGCGAGGAGGAGGGGGCGCGTACCAGTAGACGCGCACAGCCGTTCTCACAGTTGTGGCTCTCGCTGGAGCGCGGCGCACATTCACTGGCGTCCGGAATTCACGGATGGAACGCGCTTTCTTTCCAACATTGGGTTCTCGAACATATCAGTGGTGTGTATCAGCTGCAAGGGTGGAACACCTTGTCTTTGCAACACGAGGGGTTGTCGCTGTTGTCGCTGGACATGTCCTCGAACTTACTCATCCCACCTCTTCAAACTTCTGCCAGCCCGAAGTCTGGATGGTTCTTCGTCTTCAGAGCGTGGCTCTCGCCTGAAATTGCAGGTTCGTCTTCAAGAGGTGCGTTTCCCGCAGTGAAGATGACTGCCTGCAGGGACCTGTGAAAGAGGGATGCGACGGAAGGGCGCATGGTGCACTATTGCTGGATCGTTGATGCGTCCTGAGTTGATTCGTCGTCGTCCTCCCCCTCCCCCTCGCCGTCCTCTTCGTCTCCCTTGTCTCCCCCCCCCCCCCTCGCCGATGTCCTCTTCCCTCTCGTCCTTCAGCCCCTCATCGTCGTCCCCCCCTCCCCCTCGTCCTCTTCCTGCCGGACGGGCAGGAGGGAAGAGGAGGAGGAGGTGGAGAAGGAGGGGCAGGAGGAGGCGGGAGAGGGAGGACGGAGGAGGAGGTGGAGGAGGAGGAAGGAGGAGGAAGAGGAGGAGGAGGAGGAGGAGGAGGAGTAGGACAAGTGTAAACCCAAGACGCATCAACGATATTGGGATACACCCTCCCTCCAAGCTTCCTCTGCATAAGCGCCATACAAGGATTCATGTCCACTGAAGGACGTACCCCGTTGGGAGACAACCGTGTGAAAATCCTGAGGCGTTCCCAAACATCATTCTCAGGACTTCAACACCACAAGTCAACCAGACTGTTGCGTCTTGACGATCCTGAAACCGTGCGGGAGCACCATTCCTGGGACTTCGACACCACGATTGTTGCGCCCTGACAATCCTGAATCGTTCGCGAGCACCAGTTCTGGAAGGTTGAACCTGCGAATCCGCAAAACTCGAAAATGCGCGGTGCTCGGGCGAGAGTCACGGTTTGACAACGCACCACCCTCAATTCGTGAAATTCTTTCAAATGTCAAAGACGAATGTGCGCGGCGCTAAGGCGAGAGCCACATGTTGAAAACGAAGCGCCCTCAACCCGTGCAACAATGTTTAAGACGAATGCGTGCGGCGCTAAGGCGAGAGCCACATTTTGAACATGGCTCGCCGTCACTCCGTGAAGCTCTTGGGATAGCTAAAGACGAATGTGCGCAGCGCTAAGGCGAGAG